ATTTGCGAATGCGAGAACTCACGGGTTTGTTTTCAGAACTCTGGCTGAAAGAGGTTCCATCATCTTGGAGTTAGTCGATGGTCCTCTCTATCTTCAAAAAGAGTCTGCGCACGATGTGCTCCAACTACAGGGTTATCAGATTGTTTCCTGTTGTTTGTAAGCTCCTGGTGTCAATCCTACGAATCGCTACAGCGGAAAGAACAGGCTGGGTTCCGCATTGGCCGCGTCTGCCTCGATCACATTTTCACACCGCCAGATCCTCCAACTCCGCCATAGGTACCAAAAACCAACGATTGTCCTGTTCCTGAATATCCGCGCTCCCTTCGATTCTGTCGACAAGTCTGCATTGTGGCAGTTTGTTGACTAATGGCGTCCTCAGGAACTTAATTTCCGTACTGCGTGCTATGTACAGTCCGACCTCGGGTAGAGTTAGGGCTTATAGCAAGCTTTCGCCTTCCTTTGTTGTCACCAGTGGAGTTCTACAAGGATGCCTTATTTCCTCATTCTTTTTAAACTTTGCCTTTGAGGATGTCCTAAAGAATACGCTAGATAATTCGTTGAACGCTGGCGTTGAGCCCCTCCTAGGTACCTGAATTGTTGACTTGGACTACGCTGATGATATTCTCTTGTTGGGTGAAGGTGCACAGGCCGTCCACCTTGCACTCAACCGCTTGGCGATTTAAGCGTCAAAGTATGATATGGCTTTTTCCCCATCCAAGTTCAAAGCTTTTCTGCAAGACTTTCAAATGCCTGTACCTGCGCTTACTCTTGTTGGTGGGACACTGGAGGTTACGGAGAGTTTTGCCTATCTGGGTGGCTGCATTACAGCCGGTTGAGGTGTTGCAGACAAGATTTCAATGCGTATCTCAAGAGCTCGCCTCACTTTCTGTACTTTGAGGCACTTGTGGCTCCGTAATGACATCCGTCTACCCGTCAAAGGGCAGTTTTATTTGCGACTGTCCGCGCTGTACTATCGTACGATTGCGAGACTTTGGCCTGTTCGCGTTGTCGACCTGCGCCGCCTCTGTCTTTGAGCACCGTTGCTTGCGGTCCATTTCCCGTGTGTGGTGGCTGCAGCACGCAACCAGTGTGGAAGTTAGACAGCGTGTCTTGAATCGAATCACCCACTTGCTTTAGGAGCTCGTCCCGCTGCATCAGCTGCGGTGGCTTGGGCACGTACTGCGCATGCCCGCCCATCCTCCTCCTTGTCGGGCGTTGTTCGCGGTTACTGGACAGGGCTGGAGAAGGCGGCCACATAAAAGAGCCGACAAAACAGTTTGCTTTCGTCGGTTGTTCTCGACTCCCTGATTTCGAATATCAGAAGTACAGTGTCTCTGGTTGGAGACTCTGAAAGTCATGGCTCAGGACCGAGGTCAATGGCGGACGGGTACATCTGCGTGTTGCGGTGATTTCCCTTCCCCAAAAAACCAACAGTAAAAAATTCTAAAACTGAATGAACAACTACTGAAATATTGCTGCTTGTTCTTTTTCTTTCTATTCATATGCTGTTTTCTTATGCCGCCATGAATTTGATGGCACAATATCTATACCTACTACTACTACTACTACTACTACTACTACTACTACTACTACTACTACTACTACTACTACTACTACTACTACTACTACTACTACTACTACTACTACTACTACTACTACTACTACTACTACTACTACTACTACTACTACTACTACTACTACTACTACTACTACTACTACTACTACTACTACTACTACTACTACTACTACTACTACTACTACTACTACTACTACTACTACTACTACTACTACTACTACTACTACTACTACTACTACTACTACTACTACTACTACTACTACTACTACTACTACTACTACTACTACTACTACTACTACTACTACTACTACTACTACTACTACTACTACTACTACTACTACTACTACTACTACTACTACTACTACTACTACTACTACTACTACTACTACTACTACTACTACTACTACTACTACTACTACTACTACTACTACTACTACTACTACTACTACTACTACTACTACTACTACTACTACTACTACTACTACTACTACTACTACTACTACTACTACTACTACTACTACTACTACTACTACTACTACTACTACTACTACTACTACTACTACTACTACTACTACTACTACTACTACTACTACTACTAATACAGGTTGATTCATGGTCGGGTATTTTTGAGGCTCCGTCGGAGGCTGAAGTCTGAAAGGTAATCACAGCTCTTAATCATTTTTCTAACTGCTGGCCCCGATTTCCTTACACCTGCTCTCTTTAGGGATGGAAATGTGGTCTTCTGCAACGCACTGACTTCCCTGTTCGAACAGGTCTGGATGGAAGAGACCATCCCAGTTACATGGAGTGAATCGATTATAATAGCAAAATAAAAGAACACTAATCGCCCGGATTGTGGAAACAACATGATTATTAGGCTAACCCTAATAGTGACAAAACTACTGGCCTCAATTCTCGTTCGTCATTTCATGCGGAAGGGATATCTCGTAGTAGGAAGGATCAAGCAGGCTTCCGCCCAAGGCAGAGCTGTATAAACCATAGTATTATTCTGCGGCAGGTGTTAGAGCAGCGCCACGCGTACTGCAGCTTGATGACGACTGTTTCTAAATTTCAAGAGTGTGTTCGATTCAGTCAACCGATTCATTCTGTCCTAGATAATTGCGCGAAAAGGTATTCCCATGAAATTTGTAAACACCACTGCCCACGTCAGGGTTGCGATGAGTTATCAGATATCTTTCCGATAACTAGGCACTTCCCGTTTTTGTTCAACTTCGTCGTGAAATCCATCATGGAGTGTTTGCTTACGGAATCTCTTTATGATGGCTTCGAAATGAAGGGTATATGGAAAAAATCGACAGTTCGCCGATACCCAGTACCTATGCTTCACTGCGTCGTAACCACCACCGGTCGCGCGTGGGCTAAGGATACTGCGAGGTCTTTCGGTCCCCTGTTTAGGCTCGAACCCACGATCTCAGGATTACAAGGTAGGCTTGTAATCCCTAAGGCTGTGGGCTGCCTGGTGAGGGGATAGTTGGTTTCGATTTTGCTGATGATAATTTATTACTGTCTAGCGATATTCGGACGGCCCAGTTAGCCCTGAATAACTTTTCTGCAGTGGTCCCATTATTTGGCACGCTCTTCTCGCCTTCAAAGTGCAGTGTTGTCGCAAGACCACCATCCACTTAGTGGCCTCATGTGGGCTAGGAACTCGAGGTGGTTGCACAATTGGCTTACCTTGGCACCTGCATCAACAACGATAGACGCATAACAACTAAAGTCAGATCACGTGTTTCAAGAGATATAACTGTTTTTCTGAATCTGCGACATCTGTAGCTTCAGAAAGGGGTTTCTTTCGGTCTGAAAGACTGTGTTTACAAGGCCACAGCGAGGGCCATCCTACTTTGTGATAACGAGATTTGGCTTCTTCGATCTGAGGGTCTGAAGGGCCTTCAATTCCTTGTTCATCGCAGCTTACGAAGCATTACTGGTGTCGGGTGGCACCAGTGTGTCCGCAACGATGATGTGCGTAGGCAAGTGTTTGGCTGTGTTTTGAGGCTAGTTCCTTTGAGCAGCAGATAACACTGAATAAGTTGCGCTGGCTTGGGCACGTACTAAATATGCATGATCACCGCTAACCAATGAGGGTCTTGTATTGTTTGCCAGGTGTAGGGTGGTGCAGGCCTTATGGTGAGCGCAAATTAACTTGGCAATGGGAAATGAAGTTACGGACTACAGAACTGGGTGTCGTTGGCCTATCTAGCCTTCGAGGCCAGAGTCCATGCGACACTTCCTGTACTTGGTTCGAAACGTGATAGGACACGGCTCGCATTCAGCATCGATGGTGCTTCTGCTATCGTCTCCCAGCAGGACTGTCTGTTTAAAGTGCGTTTAGTGCTGCGTTACCTGCGGCGTGAAGGCTGGTTATGACGCGGGGTAGTGAATGTCTCAAGGAAGCTGTCCCACTGATGCTGCCTAATCTTTGTACGATAGCCAGCTGTTTGTGACGATATGTTGTTGCCAAAGTGTGGACCCCCTCACCGTAAGTGTTTGCTGAGGGCAATAAGGTTTTGTCGTAGGTCACCCTTCTTTCCTTGTTATTCTTTTTCTTTTCGTAGGTCGATATGATTGTACGGCAGTGAGGCACAAATACAAATGCTTGATATATTGTTGTTAATGATGATGATGATCGGGGTGTTACTAATGCATAATTGTATTTAACAACATATCTGGACATATTTCGCTTTTTTATTTATTTTCGCTTCTGCGTGTGGCCAAAAACCCACACAAACGGGGTGGCTGTCCATCTATGCCTACAGGTGCTTTAAACATCCCAGGAAACAATATCAAAGCTAACTTACGGTCAATTTGTGCCTCGTGACACAATAGATTGTATGTTTCTCACCTTTACGCAACGTGTAGGTTAACGTTTATGATACCGACGTTGGTAGATCTGAATGTTGTTATAGCCATGCGCACGATAAGTTTTCTCTGTGTTATCGGTTTACTGTGTCAATGAACCAGTGTCATCATGTATTATTCCCAAGTAACATCTTTTTTAATCATTCATGTACTACACTGTTTGATATTTTCCGTAGCCTTCTGTTGCGAGCACCTTTCACGGAAAGTCCTTTTGAGTGTCTAACCACCAATGAATTCGGACCATATTATGGAACAAAGTGAAACGGAACACTTCACAGAGGATTCATCTAATATTATTCCTTCGTCTGAATCGGACCCCCCACCACCGCTAACGTGTCACATACCGCCTTGCCGCTCAGGTGACTTGTGTCTATTTGATAGTGGGACTTTGAATGGTGAGACTCCCGGAGGCACTTTTGATTCTTCTGCCGGTGACATGGATACTCAGTTGAATGAACGGCAACGCACATTTACGCAGGCCGACGGTTTGCATTTTAAATTTATCAACGCTTCCCTTTCTGTTTCTCTAGACTTCCAAGATATGCCCAAAACATGTGAATTGGCCGAACCGGATAGTTCTTCAGTTGGAAATTCTGAAGAGGCATCTGGTTTTTCGTAGGTTCTTTCCTTTTTCCGCTTTATCTGATTTCATGTTTAGTGCTTACCGATTGGGCGTCGTCCAGTTCTGCGATACCACCAAGGTATTGGTGATTACATTGTTTCCCGGCTAATCAATTTTCAACTTCGTGGTGAATACCTGTGTTGCTATGCCGTTGCTTTGCTTCATTATCATCTCGTTTGAAGTCTCTTTTTGGGGTGCACTTTACCGATTACCATATTATCCAAGTGTTCAACATGTATATCTTTTCTCACTACATTATAACAGAAATGCACAGGATCGTCTAGACTCGGTCTGGGATTCATCCGATTCATCTGATTCGTCCCTGCAGCTCAAAAGTCTGCTGCTTTAATCACCAATCCGCAAAAGCACTAGACAGTCGTTTCACCCTCGTGTGTTTTGGCCGGCCCATAGCCTAAAGGTAACAGGCTTGTCTTGTTATCTGAAGGCGCGAGTTCAAACTTGCGTATGGGCAGGGCGACTGTCGCAGTATTTTTAACCCACGGTCGACCGGTGGTGGCTGCGCAGCAGCGAATCCTCGCTACTGCGTACTGGCGTACTGCTGATACCCGTGAGTGTTGCACGTTCCATCGGTCCCCCTTAGAGAATTCAACATCTGACCGCTAGTAGCTAATGCCACTGAGCCATTAGCGACGGTGACAGACCATAATAACTTGCAAGCTAACAGCGATATAGCGCATCCTATCCTCCACTGCTATTCAGGTTACTACCATGGCAGAGGACAATGGTTGGCCTCCAGAGACCATATCATCCACCGCACTGCATCGCTCAAAGACTGTGGTGACGAGTTTTTGATTACTAATGCGCACAGGGTTTATTGTTGATATTTCGCTGATTCGCCGTAGCAGCTCACAACCGAGGCAGTAACCAGCAATCCGGTAAAGCAACGATAGGCCAATATGGCCGGCTGAAGGGGATACAGAGCACATAAAATACCTCTGTTGGGACGCAAGATAGTTTCGGATAACTTGATTGCCAGTATTTTTCGTCAATGAAAGTGACATTGCTACAACCACAACATCCGCAGCTGCAAGACACAGCCGCAATCGCACGATAATGAAACCACTTTTGATTACATTGCTATTGCTGTAACGCCAACACAAACTAGCAGCTTCTCAGATCGAACATCCCTGCAGAGGTCTGCAATTGGCACTTTGACGCGAACACCAAAAAAGGTGACTACGTTCATTGAGAAATCTCGATCAGACATCCAAAAGATGAGTGCGTCTGGGTGCATGGACCTCAACAATTCATCTGCATTGGTAACGAGCTCTAATATTCTTGTTTCTCTCTCTACTGAAACGGCCATAGAGCAACAAATGGATGTAGTAGGTTATTTTATTTCTGCTAGATGTGGTTCTATTAAATTGCATTTCACATGCACAAGGCTTAAAGAAAAGTCAAAGTGCTTGTAATGGTAGCTTAATGGCAATTCGTTGATTGTGTCACATTGGGATCTCAATGACCAAGAAACGCCCAAGACTAGACCGCCTGACGTAATCCATTGATTATGTCTTCCAAACACGTATGGCCATGAAATACTCGGTGGCACCCAAAGCTCTCTATCGACCAGCCATCTACAACCATCACGCGAAACAATCTTCTCTGTTGAATAAGCAATAACTGCCTCTTGGATACGCCTAGTTACCATCCCGCAGTCTACAAAAAAACGCTGAATGTGTACGGTTACTGAAAAGAAATTCGCTAGCCGGGCAGTGTTATCCCCTACTCTGCCCCATGTTCATTCAATCTCCCCCAACGGCTCCCGCCAACAACCCTTTTTAGCGGTGGCTCGAATGAACTCGCACCCGTTCCCACACCAGATACATCCGACGATGGTCAGCTATTTAATCCCATCTTTCTTCAATTTGTCCAGTGCCAGGCAAACGCCAGTCTAAGTATGATGCCGGTATTCCCTTTGTGCCAACGGCTGTCTCGACGTTCACAAGTGATAAAGAAAATAAACTGCAAACATTTTCAATTGTTAATCCATTATTTTTCTGACCAGAATTTGTTCTTCTCCTCCACCAGTGTATCCACTACTGTGGAGTGGTTTTATTATAAGATCCATAGCAATGTAGCCCTGCTTGCTCCATTGTGTGTACCTATTGTTCATTTCTCCAAACATGCCATCGAACCCCCAGTCAACCGGAAAAATATCTGCAAGATTCAGAAAGACCAATGACTTCACTGATCTTGCAAATGCACGAATTTATCATCGGAGTCCAACATGCGCTCTTGATGCGGCGTACAAATGAAGAACAGACTGCCATGAGAACAAGATGGAAGCTTGAACTAGTTGACGGTGAAGGCCACTTCATGACCCAGCTCCAATCTGTGAAGCATGCAGTGCTTTCTTCGCCACCTCCATGAGTCTCGAAAATGACTATGTACATGCGTACACATAGTTTGCAGCGACGAACGTCTTAAGCAAAGTTGCTATTTTTCTCAACGATGTCGCCCGGTGGCCGAATGGTCTGCGCACCTGGTTTACAACCATAAGGTCACCGGTTCGAATCCGCGTAGGGGTGGGCGTCTTCGCGGTATACTCATCCCGCGCTCGACTGGTGTTGTTCACGTGCCAGCGTAGTGCTGTTACGGTGTACATCTGGCTATTTTCAACGGCGTCCAACAAGTTATTAAGTCCATGGACCATTCTCCAGGCTGGGGTCTGATGGAATTCCACTGTGCAATATTAAACTAGGAAGACGATGTGCCACTGTTATTGTTGGACGCGTTCATCCTATCGCTTTAATCTAGTCGTTTTCCAGTTCAATGGAAAACGTCATTTCTCTTGCCTCTTCACAAAGGAGATCTTAAGCAAAAGATTTAGAACCACCGATCTATCCCCCACCCTCCAATGATTGCCCGGTTCTTTGAAAAACTGTTAAAAAGAGCGTGATGAACTTTGTCTATTATTTATACCTAATAATCAATTCGCAGATTGGTTATCTTACCAATTTATTTTGCACCACCTGTCAATTGCATTGTCTGAGCCACCTTTCAGAATCTATCGATTCCGGCTGTGCAGGAGTAACTTTATTTCTGGACGTACAACAAGCATTCGACCGGGTAGTTCAAAAACAGTTGTCAACATATTAGAGACTTTCGGGCTCCGGGACCCATTAACAAGTTGGCTATCGTCATACCTGAGTGATCACCACCAAATAGGCACTTTAGCTGACCATCGCTCTTCTCCGTGCGCTATCACTAATTGGGTAATCCAGGGAATTATATTTGGTCCTTCGTTATTTCTGCTCTACATCAATGATCACTACATTTCTAAAACATTGCCAACCACTTTTATTCCTTGACGATATCAAGATTATATATAAGCTTCGGCGTAATGGACTTCACGGGACGCTTTTGCTCATTCAAGCTGCCTTATATTCCCATGAGGTTTGGTGCCATACATGCATGCCGTACCTCGGCCAAAAACTCAGGCATCATGTCATACGGCTGTTCCTTTTCCGATGAACAACGAACATGTCCCTATACAACGGTCCACATGTGATCTCAGAATTAAATGCACATGTATACACAATTTCTTCGAACAGGTCCTATACTAAATGGTACGTGCCAGATAAACTGTGCCTAATATATCCAACAAAATGCACTCAGTTCATGCTACAGTCGAGTTTTCTAAGCTACTCACCCTCCCCGTCCTCGAGTATTGCAGCATACTATGGGACAACAGGAGAAAGAGCGACAGATTTGTTTTAGACACCTACAGGGGTTGCTTACTATACATCTGATTGGCAAGCACGCTGCTATGAATTATCGAGAGCTCTGCAACCAATTTCAACGCGAACCTCTTTGGATGCAATGATTGAAGCAAAACTTTGGGCTGCTTTTCAACCTGTTATTCAAACGATCTATTCCGACCTGTCTACACTCAAGCTGTAACAGGTCATTTCGAGTACTTCGCAACGATGGTTATGCATTAACTATACCAAAGGCTAGAATAAACATCCACTCAAACTTGTTCCTGGTCAGATATACCTATCTACTGAATACACTGCCAGTCACATTCAGGTCATGTGACAATGGAGCAATATTTTGTAACTAGGTCTCAAGTTAAAAGTTGGACTTAGTGAATCCGCTGTGTAGTTGGCTTGCTACAAGCAACTTCTATTGAGGCCTCGGTTCACTTGAGGTGAACCTTGGTCATTCCGATCACAAGGACCGTATGTAAAATTGAACCATTAGGGTGTCGCTCATCTCAACACTGGCACCCCACTGTAAAAAGTCGGTCCTTCAGGGACAAAACGTATATTCAGCAAACAACAGGACCAGGCGAAAACGCAGGCGGCGGGCGAGTGAAACATATCGGTATATACAGCTAGTTGGATCCATAATTAACGACCTTTGTGAATGCATGACATTTTTCCTTTGATTCAGTCAAACAACTCACTCCAATGCGTCCGACTGTTGGCCAATCAGTGTGCATGCGAGAAACGTGTGAACGTCCAATCGACTGCCGCCTTTCCTTGCGGCAGCCTAACGGCTTCCTTGCTGGGCTGGCACCGCACGTTCGTTCGAGTGTATACTCCCATCACACCCACGACCGCGGTTTCCTCCTGGTTTGCACTCATCAGTGGAGATAGCCTGAGCTGGGCTGGAACTCAGAGCCTAGTGGCTCATGCTTGACGCCATAAGCACTATGCCACGGAGATTCGCGAGCAACGCTTGGTACAGCGGAAACGCATTCAAAGTTGGACTTCGAGAATCCGCTGTGTGGTTGGGTTGCTACAAGCAATTTCTATTGAGACTTCGGTTCACTTGAAGTGGGCCTTGGTCATTCCGATCACAAGGACTGTAGGTAAAACTGAACCAAACCAGGACGAAACCGCGGTCGTGTGGTGCCAGTGTTGGTATGAGCAACACCCTAACGGCGTAATTCTCGCGCATCTGCCCGATCCACCTACGATGGGGCAACACAGATTTTTATATTTTCCCTCTCAGTATTTTGTATTATTAGTTGTAGTGGTTGTAATACCGTTTGTAACAACTGGAAAGTGAAGAGCTTACAGAAGAGGTTGCGCCTTTGTCCATGTCCATGCGCCTTTGGCGGTAGGAAATGAGACGGTACGGATGTCAGTGAAATGATGTCCCGGTTCAACAATGGCTGCTCATAATTCTCGGGTTCTTGTATCTACCGTATCTGAATGCATATTTTACTCTGATAAATCGGTGACAGTAGGTTAGTGTGATACCTAGAGGCCGGAAACAGCGGGTGCAACACTGAATTTCCCTTCCACCGCTACATGTGTGTTTGCGAACCGGGCCAGGGAAAAAGTTGCTTTTGTTAATCTTACCATCACAGCACTATCGGTATAGTCCGTTCATTCGAAACGGATTGGTGCATTGTATTTAAACACATTGGCTGAACTGTTCCGGCAACCCTTGATTGTGACACAATCTTGGCGTTCATTTTTTCCATCTCGAAAGCCCAACTTCATACTAACGCACTGACAGCTTCCTGTGGTGCATTTTCCTATGTGGTTATCAGATGTTCTCGAGGTCAACTGTCGGATCAACCTACAACCGATTTGTTCTGTGAAATAAAAGGCGAATCCTGCAATATCACATGACTATTCAGTCAGGCACCGAACTAATTTGAGTGTTTGCCTATCTCTCGTTGCAAACACGATTATTTACGATTCTCAACTACCGCTGAGACCGCTCGGAACACCTCTCTGATTACATCCTGGTCGGTCGCGAGCAATGTGTTTAAACACTTTTAGCTTTCTTTGTTTAGTAAAGAATTAAGTCCGGCAGTTTAACCCAACTAGTTTTGTGAGGAGCCAGGAGTCTGAGCTAGGTCTTTTTGCGCAATTGGTATAAAATTTCGATGGGGCTTAGCTCCAGCGGCTTATGATTCCACCCTTGACGCCAAATGTCATATCAGGAACACTGAATGTTTGCGTAACTGTGTCTCACTACCAACGAAACGTAGTACATCGTAAGGCTATGGCAAAGATACGGCATGGAGCTCATCGATCGAATCTGTCCAAGTGTCTACTCAATGGACAGCGAACACCTCCGACAACCAAAGTAGGTAGGGATGCCATTTTCCGTAGAATTCTATTGGCGCTTACATCCCTCTACTTCCGATGCTTTGTCATCGAGCTGTCTTGATCCTCTATCCAACCATTTGCTGCTTTGACATAAAATAAACTGACTTGAAACACTGGTGGCTCTGGTTGCTAGTTCAGATATTTTTGTTTTTCTTGAGTTTAGCGATCGGTCTGCAGTTGTCCTATCGCCGAGCGTGATGAAGTCACAATTACGTACCAGTATATACGCCTCATTACTAACGCCAACAGTCTTTCTCCACATCAGTGGCTTTCATCGTGTCAACCGGTGGTCGAAAAGACAGGGCGTTTGCCTTGCAACCCGGACCTCACCGTTTCAAGCCTGCATAAGGGACCTGGCGATCCTTGGCTAACGCGCAACAAGTGGCTGTTGTATGGCCGATATGCGTGGTGCGCAATGCAACTGCTGATGCAAACTAATCCGAGTCAGATCCCAAGGAAGGGTTGTCGTCTAGCGGTTGCGATTGTTTGCGTCCGTACTCAACTCGTCATCGTGATTACGAGTACTCTTAGGCCATGAATCGCTTGCACTACATTACCTACACCTCCATCCGGACACCTTATTTCCAGTGCTGAACCGACTGGGAGCTAAGTGGATGTGGGCCGCGGTCTGATCAGAATGTGTCCCCTCGATTTGAAACTGAATGGCCCCTCATTTCGGGTGTACGGCGTCCTGGCTATAGTCCGTTTTGTGTTATAGACAGTGCATTACTTATCTTCCGGGAACTAGTAGGGTTGTCCTGGTGCCTGTACGCGAAATGGAAGCACCGAGCTGATATGCACTGCATACGTCAGGTAAAGTTCGCATAGTGCGTAGGGTATAATATATACTCCGTCAGCTCCAGAGCCGCTCGCACATTGTGTATTCTTGTGTACGCTGATTGACAAAGAGACGCGCATCATTAGTTTGCAGTTAGTCTCCGTGTGTGTTACTTCGCTCATCAGTTTTTTCCTGTTGCCAGCCACTTTTATGACAATAATGTTATTTCATCCGTAATTGTTACTGCGCCTCCCGTTTACTTAGAAGCCCGTTTGGTAGATGCCATACATCTAGTCCAAAACTCATGCATTAATTTTAGCTCCTCTTTTGCTGTGTTCCATTTTTTGTTGCGATAGCCTTTTTTCTCCCTTGCACACTATGTTTGGTCATGAAGGCAAACGCGATGATTCTTCACAAATTGCTTTCAGTGACACAGAATCATTTAGATAATAGCCCCAGTTTATGCTTGCTCTGCCGGTGTTGAAACCATCTACATGAATTAGTTAGGCTTCCTAAGAGGGATCCTCATGGATGCATGTCTACACGACAGAGCCGGCGCTGTTTTTCCTTTTATCATGTTGCATTTCGTAGCTCACGCGTTTCAAGCGAGCAATTCTTTATATGGTTTGTACTCATTTTTCCGAGCATTCTAAGGCCTGCGGTGACATTTGAAAGGCGCTTAGCGGTGTTTTCCGAGCCGAAGATGTTAGCTAGATATCTAACTGCTCTGGCTCACCTTAGTCAAGTGTACCCATTGCGATTAGTTGATTCACTATTGAGCATCTTTCTGTGTCATGGCAATTTTGGTTCAGCGGTTGAGCTATCTTCCGCATTGGTTTGTTTCTCAAAGTTCCGTTCAACAGACTCGCACCATCTTGCTTACTTATTTTTCCTCCTCTTCATTGATCTCGCGTGAATTTGCCACTTCCGCTTTTCAAGCCGGTGTACATGAGTGCTTTTTTCTCCTTCTCGTCACTGCATGTAGTTCTACATTTAAGTGACTTGGACATATTCATTTAACTTATGAGAACCAAAGACCATCGGTGAGCGATTGCTTTCAATGATTCATCATCAGATCATTACAATCATATGAAGGCTAAAAATAAAAATCGATTCAGTTACTTCAAAACGACTGGATCACGTTGAGGTCTATGTCAGAGTTGAGAATCATTGAAAGCACTTGCTCACCAGATGATCTTCCGTTCTTAAGTTCTAGATTTCTTTCTTTTTATACCCTTCATTAACACCTTGTACGTTTTTGTGTATTTTCTCTAATATGCTTCACTCTCTATGTCACCTTCGTCCTAATACACTATTTGCACAAACTTTAGGCCGCAGTCCATCTATTTGTCTCATTTGCTCTCATCTCCCATCGTTCATGTACTGACAAACTGTTTTTTGCCATCCCACAGCACACTAGTCCGAACTTGGAGGTTACACAAGAAGCTCTTACTTCCTATCCCTCACCATCGGATCTACCCTTGATGAGCCAAACGGATCGCATCGATCTCGTCTGGGACAATGGAAGTCAGTTCCCCTCTTCTCAGACCCGCGGATCTACTCCGGCCCGTTTGGCTTTGATGCCGGACGAGAACAAGTCCTCTATTGTCCCCACATTTGCCTCTTCTAACAATTCTCTTACTCCTCGTTGGACCAAGTCTTTAAATCCACGTCCACTGAACAATGGTCAGTCTTTTTATGCTCTCACTGCATCATATCAACTGGTGTTTATAGTCTTCATTGTGCGGGACAATATCCTCAGACCGTGAGAGGGGCGATGTTCCTTCCATAGTTTATCAACATTTCTCAACTCGAGCGCTTCGCAACAAAAGTTTTACACTGAATATACCGTAGGCCAGAACGAGCGTCCACTAATTTCTTCCTGGTCAGATATAGCTATCTGTGAAATAAACTACTAATGACACTCAGGTCGTGACAATGTGGCGACATTTCGTAGCAGACTCGCCAATTATCTTTATCTAACTTCCACAATCTCTATATTCACATGCGAAAATCCCTCGATAAGCTATTTCAAGAGGGGCCAAAACATCTAAACACCAATGTTTTCATAACTGGGCTTCGGCCTCAACCATCCGCCAGAATGTCAACACATGAAATCATATCCCAATACTCCACCTATCCATATTGCTCATGCAAGAGCATGGATGTTTCTGTACAAATCGATCTTCGCGTTTATAGACACAGTTTCTCTCATCAAGAGAAATATACGTATTATTATTGTTATTATTATTATTATTAGAAGTTTGATTCGATGCAGGAATGTTTTGTGTACCACGAACCGAAGCTGCGTTTTTACTTTTATTTCTTCATCCATACCTTGCCGTTCTGAACGGTTAACAGCGTGAAAGCATGCGTTCCTATGTCAACTCTGAATACGTTTTGGAATTTGTTTGAGGGCAATATGATTTCATGCTCCGTGGTCACAATCCGTACTGCCTGTCATGCACATATGCCAACCATCGCACACGTATATATCAATCCCAACTAATCCATGCTTAGATAGATGACGCGACATAAAGGATAAGGCGATTTTTACCTTGGTGACTAGACCACGGGAATTTTTCATCTTAACCATTAAGTTCTGCATCTGTAGATGGTTACTGAGCCTATACTTTCTACTTATGCTTATTCTCCACCATCTACGAACCTTTCTACTCGTCTTTTATCTGGCTTCTTGTTGGTCAACAAGTTTTATTATCCCTATATTTGAGTTTCTTTCCCTTCTTTGATGGACCTGTGCCGCTACTTACCATGCTCCTCGTATACTCACCGATCGGCTACCTCTGACGTGCACTGTTTACCTTAGCACCCTCTCGTTGACTGAAACCCCATGGGGGAGCCTAGCGGCTACGATGGCGTTATGTAAGAAAGGTATCAGCAGCACGCCGGTACACAGTATCAACGCTTCGCTGCCGCGCAGCCACTACCAGTCGCATGCAGGCTAAAGATACTACGACGGTCGGCGGGTCCCTACGCAGCCTCGAGCCTGCGCCCTCGGATTACTAGGCAGACCGAACAGCGTTATGCGCTTTGCTTGGATGGTGGGTATCGACCACCCCAATGTATAGCAGTTTAGCTCAATGTAACTCATTCGTGAGGGAAGTCAACAATGTCTGTGCACAAACTCTCAGCTGTCAATGGCTATGTCTTTGTTCTTCAACATCTTCCATGTGTTTTGCAAATTTGCTCTTTTCACTTTTTCCATTTTATCTTCAATATGATCTTGATCATTGCCCATCTAGCCTGGGTTTCCATCTAACGCACTAGGTTTTTACATTCGTTAATGAGGCTCGTCTGTAGGTACCACCGACCCTCATCTCTTTACTGCGTTTTTACTAGGACCCCACATCAGCGGATGTTAGAGTCGGTTGGACAATAGCCAATCAATTAGAGTGCGTAACGGCTAGGTTCAGTCAATGAGATTACATTGCCATCAGAAGCGATCAGAGAGAACGAACGATGGGTTCATTCAATTTTTAAATCGCTTCCTCATCGATATAATTAGGATAGTGGGCACTGCATATTTCTAATCTTTATTTCTTCCCAATGGCAATAGCCTCGTATTTCAAGTTGGAGAATTTGTTTGGTACGTGATCTGTTTTATCTTCAGGTCATTGTGGTAGCCTGGCACCAGTGCAAAACATTAAAGTGCTACTGTTATTGAGGCTGTTGATTATTATATTTAATTCTTAACATTCGGATCATCAGCTGAAACGATGTCGCCGACGCAAGTTGGTCTAACCGTCGGAGTTTGTTGTGAGGAGCAGCAGCCATAGTGCTGCCCCTGTTGAACTGTGCAACTTTCATGATCCGTCCGTTGGGGTTATGCTCTAGGTTGTCCCTGTCCTTTCTCCTTTGCAGTGTTAGTTTGGTGAGACAATGCTCTTTGGTTGGACAGGAGCAACTATTGCTCAGGTTCCGTGACGATGAACGCAATGTTTCCACGATTGCTGTGCGTACGTGTTTGTTGGGATAGTGTGTATTCAGCTTCCGAATAGTGATGTGATCTATTTTTGTACCAGCTCTTTTCTTCTCATCCTTCCCACTACATGTCAAAGCTGAGTAGTAGGGGGGTTTTGTGTCGTCACCAAAAAATCATTGAACACTCATACTTTCCCATGGACTTACAAATCTCCATATTCACCCAATTCGCTCATTTCCACCTTAACGGGCTGCGCATTCTCATGTCTTCATGAAAGATAGTCCATTCGAAGAACCTTTCAATGGATCCACCAGTCAGCTACACAATCGATCGATTGAGGGGTTGTCTGGCTACGAGTCTACTACAACGCCTTTAACTGATGTTCCTCATTCTGGTGCTTCCTCCATGCATCAAGATAGTGGATCTGCCCTCCCTACTCTGTCCTCCGCAGAGAAAAGCAGCAACGGTTGTCAAGCTGACCGAAGCGACTCTGCACCACTTACTTCAGTTAGTGATACTTCGCATGCCACGTCAGATCCAGCTTCCGGCCTCTACCAGCTCTTTGGCCATAAAATCTCCCTCCATCTATCCGTAATCTCCACTCCACTACGTTCGCAAAACTCCCAAGTTAAAGTTATTTATTTCGATGGACTCCATTTAGAGGCAAGTTCGTGTCCTTGTTGTATTATCTTGGCATTTTCTAAGATCACCGTGACCTTCAACCCATGTTTCATGATTAGCCCTTAGGTTTATGCTCAATTTTGGACTGAATGGACCCTTCTCATTTCGAATGATTACAATACTCGTTTCCTGAACGGTTCATAACGCACTCGAATCCGAATTTCACCTGTCTGCTAAACTTCTTCGTCCTCACTCATTGCGTACGGTTTTCAATTCCTTTTCACGCATCACACTACCGTCGTTCTGCTCAGCAGTTTAGGTGCTGACAACTTGTCTACGTTGTCATCATCATCATCATTATACACCTTAACTACAGGTCGTGTTCCTCGACATCAAAGGAGCATTCGGTTCGGTAAATCGACCTTCCCTTTGGGACTGTCTGCTAAGGAAAGGTGTGCCGGAGAAGTATGTAAATATTATGCGAGCGCTTTATGCGCGTAGCTCGGGCAGTGTGATGGCTTACGGCAAACTGTCGCCGGCCTTCAATATCTCCAGCGGTGTAAAGCAAGAATGCCCGCTATCACCTTTCCTTTTCGGCTTCACTGTTGACGAAGTCATGGGCATCGCGCTCACAGGATGTGGAGCTGCTCCCTGTTGAACGGCTTCTTGACTTGGCGTATGCTGGCGATATTGCCCTACTCTGTGACAGCTCACACACGTGCCACATAGCAGTAGGCAGATCAACACTGGCTGTCAACCGTTTCGGGCTATGCTTCGCACCCTCGAAGTACAAAGCTCTCTTCCAAGCTTGGCAGCGATCACCTGCGCTGACCCTTGGTGGGGATCAGCTAGAAGTCCTTCAAAAGTCCAACTACCTAGGTAGTTGTATGAACGCCGTTGAAATTGAAGATGGGGTCACAAACCGTTTAGCAAAAGCTCAAGGCACTTTTGCTAACCTTCACCACCCATGGCGCCTGCGCGACATCATTCTCTCCCTGAAGGTTAGTGTATACAATGCAGCCGTACGTTCGAACCTACTGTACGGTTACGAAACCCGGCTCCTTAGATCAGCCGACACAATGAGACTAGTTACGTTCGGTCACCAGTACCTTCATAGTTTGGCTTTTATCAGTTGGGAACACCGTGTGAGCAATGAGCGTGTTCGACACCTTGTTTATGACACAGGAACCGCTTAGCATCGTTATATCACGCACCAGGCTCCGATGATTGGGCCACATGTTACGCATGCGCGTCCACCGACTTCGGCGACGTGCGTTGTTTGCGCGCCTAGGCGGTGTGGATGTAAGCAAAAGATTGGTGGCCAAGCGATGACTTGGTCAAGAGGAATGAGGGCTCTTACTTTGATGTTGGCTTCGGTTGGAGTCTCTCGGCTTCCTATTTGGGGACCGAAAGACGATAAACATGTTTAGCTGGATACATTTGCTGACTTGGCTACGAGCCGGCTTCAGTGGCGTTTGTGTTGTGTGTGTGGGGCCGATGAATCATTGCAGGAAGTCGTGTAGAAACAGTAGAAATACAGGAAAATCCCGTTAAATAAGCAGCTTGAACTGAATCGCAAACAAAAGCGCCATTGACTTTCTGAAGGCACCCAGCGTAGCGCATTTGATCATGGAGTTACGCAAACCCTCACACCACTTTAAATTTTAATTTCATCCCGCTGATAGCTGACTGGCCCCCGTTTTTATACTAACGCGCGCTGCATCATGAGTGCTATATCGACACATGGAAAATGGATGCCTGCTATTATAACATTACTCTTCTGTGTTTTTTGCCTGACGCTCCGAATTCCAGCTGAGGGACCAGAATTTAAGACCCGACTGACGATGTTTTTATTCGGACATCCCTATATGGAACTCTGCGTCTGCGTACTCTAAGTCAAAAAGTCGTTCTCCTGGGAGTAGCTCCACAGCTTCGAAGTCATGTCCTGTAAATACAATCTTCATGACTTCGTCAATTGCGAAGTTGAAGAGCTAAGCTGACAGCGGGCATCCTTGTCTCACACCGCTGGAGATATTGAGGGGTGGCGACAGCTTGCCGTAAGCCCTCACTCTGCACATACTCCGCGCGTATAATGCTCGGATACTTTTTACATATTTCTCGCGCACACCTTTCCTGAGTAGACAATTTCAAAGGGCACATCGATCATCCGAATCGAAGGCACCTTTGATGTCGAGGAACACGACTACGGTGGGCCGCCAATATGTGTGACGGTGCTCCAACAACTGACTCAAGGTGAAGATATGGTCAATGCCTCCACGACCCCAACGAAACCCGGTTTGCTCCTCACGAATCTGGCTATCACGAGCGGCAGTCAGTCTGTGAGTTATTATGAAGGCAAGCAATTTGGAGGCGATGGAGATCAGACTGATTCCTCTATGGTTGCCGCATTCCGAACGCGAGCCTCTTTTGAAGATGGGAACAATAACGGAGCGGCTCCTGTCGCTTGGGATAGTCTCTTGCTCCCACAGTTTTACTAGTAATTCATGTAAAACATCAACAAGAGCAGAGCCTCCGAATTTGAAGAGGGCTTGAGGAAGATCATCTGGTCCCGTGGCTTTCTTCAACTTCAACAGTTCGATCTCACGTTCGACTTCTGAGCGAGAGGGCGGATCCAAAGGGACAGCCTACGGAGCGGGGCGATCAGTGGCCTGCGCGAAATCTAACCATCCTGACCGATTAAATTGCCCTTTAAAGTGCTTAGCCAAACGCTCTAAGCGTTTTGATATGTTGTGGTTAGGCTGTCCACTCTCGTCACTTATAGTTTCACTAACACCAAGTCTCCAGCTGCCCGTTTCCCGTAGCAGACGGAATAACTTACGATGGTTCCCAAGGGCGGCGGATATTTCCATCTCTGATGCACGATGAGACCACTAGGTTTCGCGGTCTCTCTTCAGACTGGCACGGAGTTTTACCCGGAGCTCTTTGCGAGTTTCATTGTGTTAATTTCCAGCCGGGATATGCCGGCGAGCATCGAAAAGTTCCAGAGACCGCGTAGAGACCCAATATCCATGTTGTGCGATTAGACATGCCACGAGGATTTTCCTGCTGCTAGTAAGGTCTGGTGAACATGTGACCAGTGACCATCAATTGTCTTCAGTGAGCGCTTACTCAACTCACATGTCAGCGTACTTCGATACGCATTCAGAACAGCTGGCTTTGTCAGTTGGCTGGTGTCCATGCGCTCGCATCGTCGTTGTATGCGTCCGCCAAAACGCATCCGCATGTCAGCACATACAAGTGCATGATCGGTGTCCACACATGTGCTCCAAATCGGGCGACAGTTCTGGATGTGATCGATCTGCGTTCAAGGTTGGTGGGCGCCAACTCACCCTCCGGCGGGTGCTGTGTCGGAAGTTAGTGCTCGCAAGAAATAAGCGGACATCTTCACACAAATGAGGTAACCGCTCACCGTTATCATTACGGGAGCCTACACCGTGCTGACCGCCCAGATACATTTCATCACTGGCCAACTTTCTAACTTGTGCGTTCATATCCCCCGCCAGCACAACAGTGTCCGTGCTTCTTCTGTGGCGAAGGAGCTGGGTCAGTTGGCGATAGAAGTCGTTCTTTACCGAGTCATCGCTACAGTTTGTGGGCGCGTAGACAGCGATGATGAATGGACACCTATTAGTCCCGCGCGACTTCGAAGCTTTGAACGAGCCAGCCAATCGGACTGCACACACCTGGCTACTGATTGGAATCCAAACAACCAGAGCAGCTTCAGCCCGGGGACTCAGGGCAAGACCAACACTGGCTTGGCCGGTGCTCGAAGCTGCATCGTCACCGGATAGGCGCAATGCGAAAATACTGTTTGCGTCACCTGAATGGGATCGCAAAGTGAGCACAGAGCTCGAGTCTTGCAGGCGTGTCTCTGATAAGCAGCAGATATCGATCGAGAGGGTCTCCAATGTTCGGGCAAGTGCTGCCTGTTGACCGATCTGTAGTAACTTGCATACCTTGTGGCATGCTAATCTGAAGGAGGATCGTGGGCTCCAAATGGACATCGATGAACTGGCATGGACTGCTTGGTTGGACGTGGGCTTGTCGACAGGAAAGCAATGACGCTCCGCGTTAGCATGTGAGTTTAAATTAGAAGATAAACGCCTAGCAAAGCATGTTGGGGGAAGGCCAAGAATCGTGGGGTTGCAAACTGGGCCTATAAAAGTGAAGCTGGAACGGGACGATAGAGGTGAAAAAGCGTAAGAGGGGGAATAAGAAGACGGGAAAGCTTGAACAGTAGCATCTAAACCTCTATCCACTCTGCTCGATGCAGCAGATAAGGCACCGTTGATTATCCTCTGCGGTGCTCAGAGCATCAGGAAACAGTTTGAAGAGAAATTCATAGTATTGTGTTAACAGGATGCTTTCAGGTTGCCCAGTCCTAGACAGGAGAACGATTAGGGTTCTCAACCAAAGTCTTTGGTTCAAATACTTTACCGCACGGCAACGGGTTTGGCGGGTTGGGCTACAAGGAGTCCGTTTTAAGGAATAAGGAGCCACTCTCATTCCAACCCCCAACCTGGAGGACCAGGAGACTGAGTTTGTCTGGCCTCTAGCCATTGACAAATCTGGTATGAGTGACTCTGAAGGTGCAAAAGCACCACCCAGCATAGCTCAATGGATCGCTGAGGGACACAAACCATCGCACCACGGTAATGTCCAGCCTCATTGCGATGGTCTTGCTGGATCATTTAGTACTGATGAGTACTAGTGAGGATTTTGGTATAATTCAGTTAATTTATCATCCTCACTCCCAATCACCATGGAAAAACTCCGGACGCCGTCGTTTTGACCTGGATCTCGTCGTTGGTGCGCCTCCCAGCGGACCGCTGTCGTATTCCGCCCCCATGACTTCAGGATGCCAGCAGCTAGTGCCGATTCGCCATGGGTGACAGCCGCAGACCTGCGTGATTGACAGTTGGCTATGGTATAGCCAGGCTCATCTTCCACTTCCATGCCAGTTACGAAATGTACAGAGGATCATGGATAGCCTCACAAGCTAGGACATTCCGCATAGCGCCTATTTAGGCGCCGTCTTTGCCTCTCTTCTGCTTAATTTTCGACACCCGAATATGCGCGAAACTCGGGCTATGCCAATCTGACAGTTAAGTGGTGCTCATCTCATGAGTGTTTGACGAGCGGGCGTTGTCCAATCACAGGCGCTACTCCGCTTGGGGCACTGGTTTTGGTTTACGGGCTTTCCATTATATTCTCCCTCCTCTGCTGCTTTACACAGCATAGTGGTTGTCTCGACGCTCGCGTGACAGTCTTTTTGACCCAGGTTCCTCCGTTACATAACGTTATTACACTCTCCGTGGCAGTTTCGAACTTAACTAGAATCTGACAAGCATAGACCTGTATACGAATCGGTGGTTGTGTTTATTTTGTATTTGTGTTTAATGGCCACAAGTTGATTGCCTACAACCGGGGAACTGGGTTCGTACTGGGCAGTTACATGCTTTCTGAATGCACACGTTTTCGGCTTTGTTACGATTTGTCTGAACATTCTTACACTCTCTGGGATGACTGTGCCCCACAAATCGCATCGTTAGCAGGTGAACGAACGCGTGATATTTTTATCAACTCTGTTGCTTTCGGCGAGAACATCTGCACATGGCTTTGAATTCTTTAGAATTTTAGCATCACTTTCGGCAGTCTCCATGCCCGTCACATCATAATAGGCAATTTCCAACATCAGTGGATCATCAGCCCAACTATAAAACGATCCGGAAGCATGTCGTTTCGATAGTTGCTGAAACCGTAATACTCCGTCAACTTGCAAAGTGATGCACAATCATTGATGGTTCTTGGTTATGATGATTAGAGACCAGCATGACCGTTTCACCAAATTGCTTGGCGCATTATACGTTCTGTGTCAACAGGCTGCGAATTACTTCGTATATCTGTTAGTTACAAGTATTCTACAATGAAGTTGTTCCCAGAACCAGCTTTCCGTTCAGTCTATCAATTTTCCAATGCAAGTAATGGTTTTCGCAGAACTCTGTCCTTCATTGATAAATTGTTTATTCGAAAAAGCACTTTCAGCGAAAATATTAGCATAACTAGTCCATACAAGTCTCAGTGTATATAATTTCGCCCCTTCCATAAGTAACGATGTTTCAGTACCCATGAAACTTCCTTTGTTTCGGTCAAAAAAATCACTTTGGCGCATATAAATATTATCCAATCATCGTTGAGGCAATGATGCCTAGATGCCCAGACATCTACACCGTTTGTGGCGATCTGGCTGCTTACCTCGTTACGTAAATCCATGTCGTCCCTTGGATTGAGTAATCCTATCAGAGTGATAGGTTCGATTAATTCATCATCAATATTCTAGGTATGAACTCTACGGTTAAAAAGCCACGCTTTTATACTCATGAACACGTGGCCAATGCATGATCCGCTTGATCGAACCCACCTTTATTCACAATGCAAGTCTTGTGCGTTACTCGACGCACTATTATTCGTGATGATCAATTACAACAAACTTATATTGTTAACCTGAAATAGCAGATAGCGAGGCATCCAATCAGAAGAACAACAAGCATGCACAGTACATTACTACTAGGTAAGCAAGCAATTGAAGCGTCGGCAACTCATTACCAGGGGTGAGTTAGCTGGGCAATGCGTTGGCTGTTGGAGGCAACAAGATGGTGTTGATACACCACCTTTACCAAATAGCTTTTTGTGTCTACAACCTTTTAGAGCAAAATTTCGAAATTATTCGCTTTCCAGTGTATTCCTGTGTTTATTTATCCGTTTTAGTCACGTAGTTGTGTATGATTGGATTTACTGCTCCTCAGGTCTATTATTCCCTTTTCCCCCACAGTTTGATGAAACGGATCCATCAAAGGCTGATAATCTTTTCAATACTGAATGCACTCGTTTATGGTCCCGAATGAATGCATTTTTCCAAGGTAGCCTACATTCCGACGGGACTGAATCATCTTTATCCCGGATGCACATTCCCCAAGTAATCGATCACCGTCGCTGCTCCGCTAAATTATATACCATAATTCTTCTCTGCTTCTCACTTCTGAACAAACTAGTGCTTTAGTTCAACAGTTCACTACTGCAAGTTTTCACCTTGCATCAGAATAGCAAGAGGTATTTATGTCGATTAGTCCCGTGGTGTTGAGAGCAGAATCCGGGTCTCAACAAAGCTTTGGTGTTCGTTTTTTCATGTATGACTTAGTCCGCGTCTTTTTCCTTTTCGTTAACTTGCTCTTTCCCCTCTAGGTGACTCGTTTGCTCTTCCTCGCCTCGCTTTCTCCCACTTTCGTTGTTATCCGGGCCAATATGCTCCATCCCTACTGTGCGAAATTATGCGCTCTTTTTATCAACCTCCCGCCTCATACCATTCTGGGTACCTTTCACATTTCAACAAGCGCATATACATTAATTGTTTAGCCCCGTACCTTATCTGTTCGCCTCGTTTGTCCCTTGCAGTTAACCGCACTACTCCTCGCTTTGCTCTGAACATTGTAACTCCTCGTCGAAATCTCGACATTTCCTACTTGCGAACTGCAGCGACAGCCAGTCGAAGTACTGCAATTGTAAAAATTACCAGAACGATATAAGAAAGGGGCTATATCTAATCCTTCCTTGTTTATCACCCTACTATACAAGCTGAGATTCACGACTCAGACAACACAGCATCCTATTTCTTTACTTAAGCAATCTTAAACCTTTGATAAACTATTTCCTTCGTCCATGCAAACAACCAGCAGCGAGTCTGATTGAAACTTTTACGCGGCTATCATCTATCGTTGCCGCACGCTCCTTCTCAAATCAATCACGCCACAAATCGCTATCAAACCAGTTCTCGTGCATCTGCATGCCGCGGCCCGCTTGTCATTGGTTCTTTCGTGTCACCTACCGGATAACCATTTACTTCACCGTTTGTTACATGAACTTCGGTTTGTTAAATTCGCTCTGCTGCTTACCTACCACCTTTCTTTTCGTAATTCATCTTGGGACCCGTGTTTACGTGAGCGGCGAGGCCATCCACCCAACTGTCCTCGATCCTTGTTACAAAAGCGGAAGCTTTTTACGCGGTAGCATGGTAGGTGTATGCAATTGGCCAAAACAATACGAAAAAGTGTTTCGATGGTAACACCTGGCCGCATGCAAATCGCGTGTACATTGACCGGAAATCTTGTTGCCAGTCACCAGCTGTGATGACAGCTGGTCTTTTGAGGGAACGGAACTGATGCGCGCGAGTTAGCTCAAACTAACTGCATTTACATTGGCCGGGCAGACGGCTAGGTTAGATGTGGTTCGACTCCGTACATGCACGAAACGCTGCGTGCTTACTGACACTAAGGAGCGGATTCACCCGAGCAAAAACAGCGAGCTAGTGGCACGCGCTGATCCACGAATCCGGACCCCAGCCGTGGATTGCAGCGAGCACCACAGTACTATCAACACTAGCGGCATAAGAGGTAATAACGGTAATCATCATCCTGAGATTTGTGCGCGGTATACGCGGTTCTACGACCCTTACAATACAATTTTGATCGCTGTCCACACTTCGTTTGGATTCGCGGAGGGCTGCAGGACGTGTGCTGATGCGTTGGCAGTGAGTTATGGTTGTGTCATACAGTGGCATATCAGGTTGGTGTACACTAGGATTGTCCAAACCTTTCGCAAGTAGGGCCACATTTTGGGAGGTAAAAATATGTCGGGCTATATTCAGCCTGACATTTAGATAATAACGAAAATTGACGTATGTTATAAAATTTTGATTGCATGTTCTTAATGTGAATGCTGCATCACAACGAGACTGGACTTCAACGTGGTACGATGGTTTGTGTGTCTCAGTGATCCATTGAGCTATGCTGTGTGATGTTTATTTGCACCTACCATATTGGTCAATGGTTAAAGGCCAGACAAACTCAGTCTCTTGGTCCTCCAGGTTGGGGGTTGGAGTGAGGGTGGCTCTTTACTCCATAAAACGGGCTATCTGTAGTCCAGTGCCGAAACCGTGCTGCCTTGAGGCAAGGTTTTTGAACCAGAGGCTTTAGTTGAGAACCCTAATCGTCCTCCTGTCTAGGCCTGGGCAACATGACAGTATCTGTCCACGCAGTACACCACGACCTTTCCCTCTAACTATCTTTTGATGCTCTGACCGTCGCGGAGGATTATCAACGGCGCCCTATCTGGAGCATCGAGCAGAGTGGATGGGTTTGGATGCTACTGCTCAGCCCTTTCCGCCTTCTTATCTCCCTTCTTGCGCTCTTTCATCCTTATCGTTCCGTTCCAATTTTGCTTTTATCCCCTTCCCCCCTAAATCTTTTCCCATCCCCACCTTGCTTGAATAGTTGCTTGTCTTCTAGTTTCAACCCACACAAAGTTACCGTGCGTCGCTTCAGTCCAGTCGACAATTCCCTGTTCAATCAAGCGGACAACGGCAGTTCATTCGTTTCCATTTATTAATCCCTGATCGTCGCTAAGGCTTGTATGCCTCAACATGCGCACTTTGCTACAGATTGGCTAATATGCAGCACTTACCCGAACACTCGAGACCCTGACGAACAGTATCTGTTGTATATCGGGAACCCATCCGCAAAAGTCGAGCTCCGTGCTTACCCTGCGATCTCCCACATGCGAGACTGGCGGCACATTCTCATTGCGCCTGTCTGGGGATGATGCAGCTTCAAATGCCGGTTAAGCTGGTGTCGGCATTGTTTTGAGTCCCCGGGATGAAGCTGCCCTGATCGATTGGATCCTAGTCAACATTCGGATGTGCGCCGTTTGATTAGCTGCTTCGTTCCATGCTTCAAAGTCGCGCGGGGACATACGGTGCCTGTTTGTCATTGCGGCCAACACCCCTACAAACTGTAGCACTGATTCGGTAAAAGATGATTTCTATCACCAACTTAACGATCTCCTTCGTTACAGAAGAAGCACGGATACTGTGGTGTTGGCTGGTGATCCAAACCCCCAAGTCGGAAAATTGATGAGCTTCATCTGGACGGCCAACATGGTGTAGGCTCCCGTAATCATAACGGTGAGCGGTTGCTACACCTGTGTGGAGATACTCGTCTATTTCTCGCGAGCACAAACTTTCCACACAGCACCCTCAGATGAGTGACTCGGCGACCACCAACCACGGACACAAATCGATCACATCGCGATCGTTTGCCGCTGGATAGGCTGCGTCCCAAACTGTCTCTCGATTTAGAGCACGAGCGCGGATTCCGATCACGCTGTTGTGTGCGCCGACCTTCGGATGCGTTTCGGCGGACCTCCGCAACCTTGATGTGAGCGGATTGACACCAACCAGCTGGCGAAGTCAGGTGATCTGAATGCGTATCAAACTACGCTGGCATCTGGGCTGAGTAAGCGTCCACTGAACACCGTTGAAGATCACTGGTCGCATATTCGTCAAGCGTTGCTGTTAGCAGGCATGTCTTCATGTGGCAAAGCAAATTGCCAAACCGCACATTGGGTCTCTACGCAGTCTATGGAACTTATGGATGCTCGCCGACGTATTCCGGGTGAAAGCGAATACAATGAGACTTGCAAAAATCGCGGAGCAAAACTGCGTGCTATCCTGAAGAGAGACTGCGAATCCTGGTGGTCTCATCGTGCATCGGAAATAGTAAACAGCCGCTGGCGTTGATAATCATCGTAACTTGTTTAGTCTGATACTGGAAATAGGCAGCAGGAGACCTGATATTATGGAGACAATACGCGACGAGAGTGGACAATCGATCCACAGCTTGTCAAAACGCTTGAAATGTTGGGTCGAACACTGTAAGTTACTTTAACCAACCGGTCGTTGAGGGCCCTTCACCATGCACCGTCTTCTTAGATGCACATTCACGCGCATAAGTCGAACGTGAGATCAAGCTGTTGAAATTGCATCAGGCCGCAAAGGCAGATAGAATTCCCCCAGCTCCCTTCCAATTCGCGGACCTGCTCTAGTAGCTGATTTACACGACTTGCTAGTGAAACTTTGGGAGCAGGAAACTGTTTTACCAGACTGTTGAAGCTGCGTCATAGTCCCAATTATCAAGGGAGGCTCCCGTTCGTAATGCGGCAAACATATAGGGATCAGTCTGATCTCAATTGCCTCTAAACTGCTTGCGTCTGTCGTTCTCCACAGACTGATTGACAATGATGAAAGCCAGATCTGGGGAGAGCAAGTCGGGTTTCCTCGAGGTCCGGGCAGCATTGACCATGTCTTCATTTTGCGTCAATTGTTTGGAGCACCGCGTGAGCGATGAGCATGTTCGGTGTCATGTATTTGGTGCAGGACGAACGAGTAAACCGCTCAGCACCATTATATCACGTACCAGGCTCCTATGGCTTGGCCACGTGTTGCGTGTGCCAGCACACCAACTTCCGCAACGTTTGCACCCGATGTGCGGTTGGCGGAGGTGGGATGTAGGCCAAGCGATGACAGTCGAGAGAAATTAACGCCCTCACTTCGTAGATGGCGTCGGTTGGTGCGTCCGGACTGCCTGGCTTGGGTCCTTAGGATGATGAACACGTTTGGTTGGACACACTTGCTGATATTGCGAAGAGCCGTCTCCATTGGCGTTTATGCTGTGAGTTTCTTTGTCCATCCCCTTCCCTATAAGATTCCTCCTCCAATCCAGATCTCATACAATACGCATAATGTATTATTTATCATCATATCTTTTTGTAGTGTACTTTTTTGTCTCTTACCTTTTTCTATTGCGGTACATTAGCTGATGTGTGTTTCTCACCGTCGGCGAACGTATATTGATGTTGATGATGATTGTGTCTCTTGATACTGAGATCTTGACTGCAGGAATCTGGTCAGGTCATTCTATGAGTCAGTGGTTCTGTTAGGCACGGAATCACTTTGGTGAGCATCCCTGTCTTATCCATGCACATTTCTTGTTAACATTCGGAGCTGTGAATGTCCTCGGACTCAAGTATGTCGAGCCAAACGAGCTGCTCATTTTCTTAGCAACTCCCAGAATTTCTTGGCATCTG